AGAGAGAGAGAGAGAGAGAGAGAGAGAGAGAGAGATAGATTGATAGATTTATATGTATAGATACATATTCAGCAAAAAACACAACTGTGAAAATTATTTCAATATCCAGCGAGTTAAAGTTGATTTAATTTGATTATGTGCCTGCTCAACACATTATACTGAGCAGAGCTGTCGACCAGCCCAAGACCAAATCATGTCATAGCCCATAGATGAAAAATGATTGATCTGGGGTCTACGCCTATATTAAATGTCATATTCCGATCCTCATGGTGGCAGTAACGTGTGTAAAAAGGATTGATTGTAGGATTTCAACCAGCCAATCAGCGCAGAGTTCTTGTTTCTGAGCACATTTTAAATAAACCAAACTAACGTTAGACAGCTACTAGAGCCATGCTGGTGTTATTAGTGAGCCGCTGAGTTTGAAGGTTTCTCCTGCCTCATTTCAGTTTTCTGTGGCGGTGAGATAACAGTGAGGTTAGCATCGAAGTTTTTATTTTTGATTAGTGTCAGGATCCAGAACAGCAATTGAAAATATTGTAAATCAACTATTCAAATGAAAAAAAAAAGAAAAAAAAAAGGACATTTTAAACATATGGAAATTTATTGTACCAGGATTTGGTGATTTCAACCATAAAAAACCATCCATCCATTTTCAGACTTATCCCAAATAAGGTCAGCAAGGGGTGCTGGCGCCTATCTCCAGCTGTCTACAGGCGAGATACAGATCACCAGTCCATCGCAGGGCAACACAGAGACAAACAGGACAAACAGCTATCTACACACACACATAAGGAGAATTTTTAGATAAGCCAAATAACCTAACAGTCGTGTTTTTTGGTCTGTGGGCAGAAGCTTGAGTACCCGGAGCGAACCCACACGTGGAGAATATGAAAAGTCCAGGATTTGAACCCAGAACTTTCTTGCTGCAAGACAGCTGTGCTACCCACTGCTCCACTGAGCAGACTACAATTCCCCGACATAAACGATAAAACAATGACACCTGTAACCAATCTGAAATTATTATTCTATGTTTAACCATACACATAAAATAATAATTTGAAAAAATAATAAATTGAAATTATTACAGGCCTTGTTACAAGTGTCATCTCTGGAGCTGCAGAAGTATTGACACTCCTCCCCAGAGGGATGGGTTAAATGCAGAGAGTTAATTTTGTTGCTTTGTACTTGTGATAGTGTTTCACAGGAACGCGGAAAAATAGGAGCTGAACAAAAACTTTACAATGATTGCCATGATTCACAGCCTGAGCAGACCAAACACCTGAAAGAGGCCGCATTTATTGGACAGATTGTAAAGCAAAACTGTACTTCTTTTATGATAAATT